CAGAAGCTGAGGTTAAATAGGACAATCGCTACTTTTGCCTGGATAAGTCTCTTTGAATTGTTTACAAACGCCACCTGCTGTTCCCTTTTAAGCAAACTTACTAAAGACTGTTTTCTACATTTCTAGCTCCAAAGGTATGTGAAGCCTGCAAAAATAAAAATGATGACGACAACGACATAATGGAAACACTTTGTAAAAATGATTTTGGTAAGTAATACAACAACAACAACAGATTTCACATTCAGAAGTTTTATTTACCAGTAAATCTTCAAGGTACAAATCATTATGATGTTGCCAGATAAAGGTTGGGTAAATACCATTATAGCTCATGTTTCCCAAAACCATCTAACTTGATCTATCCTAGTTTCCTCCTTATGTAACTGTCTAGCATTGCAATGTATCTTGTCAGCTAAGACTCATTGTTCTGTTAAGCCAATAATCAAATAATGAAAATTATTCTGGTTATCAATTTCCAATGGCACATTTCAAATAATGAAAATTATTCAGATGATCAATTTCCAATGGCACATTTTAAATCTTTTTTTTTTTTTTTTTTTTTTTTTTTTTTTTTTTGCCAACAGGCATAATCCCGAGTCCTGTTTTCTTTTGATTACTTAACATGTGCACCAGGGATGGAAGTGTAAATATTAGCCCCAGCCAAACAGATTCAAGGCATTAAATTGGCCACAAATAAAAATATTTTTACTTTCTTTATAACCCATAATGATTTGCTCCTCTGTGCTCTACCATTAGTGAATATATCCAAGGCACTGATTAATAATTTGTCGAGGAGGGGTTCCTTAAATTGAAAAAGAAGAGTGGCTTACTGAGAAGACACCTAACATGAAACACCTAACAACCTTAAACCACCACCTTAAAATCCCTTTTAAAAGGTTTTTGTAAATTTTTGTATAACTAAGTCTAGACACATTTGCCACAGTTTTGAAATAGTTTTAAAAAGAAAAAAAAAAGTCTTAGAGATTTACTTTAGCAAGATACATGATAGATGACATGGTGTTTGGGGACAATAAAAAACACATGCGATATGTTCCATAAGTTGCAAGTCACTCCCCTGAAAACAGGATCATAAGGGGAAAGAGAGATGGGACTTTGTCTGCATAGAACTCCACCAGCACCTCATTTGCTGACTTCAGGGCTCTCAGATCAGAAGAGGAGCCCAGCTAGACACAGGATCAATGCTAAATTCAGAGCTGGGAATGACCAGGAACTTCACCCAGAGGCATTCTTGCTTTTATCCTTTTCCAAGGGCAGGTACTTTTTGGTATGTCGGAATTATTGGTACCTTTCTAAAAAGTATTTATTCAGGCACAAGGCTGAACTTACTCATAAATAGACATGTTCCCTGCTCTGTCAATCAATAACAGAGTCTAATAGACCCATATTAACACTTCTACATATTCAACATAGTCCTCGAGACTGAGGGAAATAACTCCAGCTCCCAGTCTCCTTACCTTGCCATCCCAGAAATCTCAGTCCTGGTCAGGTCCCTAAAACTCTAGAACCATCCAATCCCTACTCTTTGACAGCTCCAGGTCTCTTCCAGAAAGTGTCCTGGGTTTAACTCTGACTGGTCCCAGAACCACCATAGCCCCAGGGTTGGGAAAGGCTTCACACTGCTGAGGAGGGAGAAAGAAGGGAGGTAGCTCAAAGTCCTTAGCAACCTTTCCCCTCAGGAGGAGCCACAAATGGGGCTGACGGAGTTTCATACACCTGTTTTCAAATGTCCACAACCCTCAAACTGGCTGAGGGCCAGGCATGTTAGCAGCAGATAATTCCCAATCACCAGAGCCTTACCAAAACACAGTTCTCAGCCCCCAAGCTATATCATTAAGGGCAAGATAGAAAAATATCATTTATATAAAATTTATATTAAAAAGTCTATAAAATATCATGTTCTTCTGGCAGTTTATATCCTTTGCACTACATATAAAACAGATCCTTCCTGACTTCCATGAAAAGTTGATTGTTATATTGTGGAACTCCATAGCAACTGGCTTTGGGAAACACACACACACACACACACACACACACACACACACCCCTATTACTTGCTTGCTTTGTGGCTGACCTTACAGAATACCCCCTTTCTAAGGATGCCCTATCAAGACATGAGCCAAAACATGGATGCCTGTGTGCCTTAGTGTGCTCTCTCCTTACAGAGAGAAAGCCTTTCAAAACAACACAGAAGTTATCACACTTAAGGTATCACATGCATAGATACCTCACAAGCTTTGTTTTCTATTTCTTCACTCTCATTTTGACCCACAGAGGGATAATGAAGCAGAATTTCAAGAACTGCATCATAAGATGGTTGGTTTATAAGCACTATTCCATCTTGCCTCTGTTCTTTGTGAATAATGGAAGAGTAGGAGGAACAAGCATAGAAATCTGATTTATTTGACTTGACTACTCTGGAAGGCATCACCTCTTCCCTACTGTGCTCCTGAAGTACAAGGGAAATTCAATGGTGCAAGTACTGGCGAATAAAAAAACGGTTCAGAACTACCTTCCTATATATACAACCTATTGTAGGACCAGAAAGTATCATCACCTCTGCTTCCTATCCCATCCTGCATCCTCAGTCACATCCTCCAGGACAGGAAAGGTTATGTGGGGGATTCGACTCTCTCTGTTTGGGCCTAGCTGAAAATCCAAGGAGAAAATCCCTAATGTTTTCTCATGATAAACATTTGCAAAATTAGTTATTTTAGAGCTAGACAAAGACGACTAATAAATCTTCCTCCTGGTTAAAAGTGATGGTTTTTTCTGATGTTTGGAGCTTGAGAATGTTTCATCTGGCCAGGTGAAATCTTATATATGCCCTATCTGTACTACAGACAAGGCTCCCAGGTAAAGCGTAATCAGTCCATTTCTCCCACCATGGTAAGGTCTATCCAACACCCTACTCCCAATGCAGAGGACACAAGAGCACGCAACATTTCCACAAGTATGGCTTATTCCATGACTTGAGTCTCAAAAACTGAGAACTCAGTACCACAGTTCAGATGCATATCATACCAGACAAAACCATGGTTGGCCAAGTCATAGCATCTTTGATTTACCTGATGTAGCGTCTATAATTTCTTGGTTGGCTAGAAAGCCATACTCAGTCAACTTCCCTTTCTGATATTTAAAAAGAGAAAAAGAAAATCTCAAAAACAGTTATACGCAACACAGAAAAATCTTCCTCTATTACTAAATTAAACATAGATTAAACTCCATCAAAGTCAGGAAGTCATACTTACACATCATCTATACGGAATAGCTGTCAGGATCACCCAGGGTCTTAGGACACATTGCAGCTGGGCAAGTTTATGCTGCAACCAGTACAAAAACATTGACATTGCCTCAAGACACTACAGTGGTATTACAGGAGGAGGTTTGGCAACCAGAGTTCTAGGAAACAACCTCAACTGGGTGACCTCATGCAAGTCACTAAACTTCTCTGGATTTAAGATTCTTTGTGTACTAACAAGCGATTTTAATGGGATGATCCCTTCTAACCTTAAAATTCTATTCTTTTCCTGCTTTCATGGAGTCTTGAAATTTAATTCCAGCATGTACGTTTGTAGGGCTTTCATTCCCAGAGCATACTGTTCATGACTATAAAACGTGTCCTTTATAGTAAACCACTTACTTTTGGTCTTCTCATTCTAACGAGTCTACATATACATTTTGGAAACAGTACATATATGATCTGTAAACACCTTGGCCTTGGACAGGCAAATGATAGCATATAAGGATGAGGTCTTCAGAAAAACACTTTTATGACTAAACATGTTGTGCTGTTAAAAAGAGACTTGCATATTTTTTCTCCTAGTTACTTTACCAAATCAAATGCAGCTGTAAGATCAATTCTCCTTCCCTGTAATCTGTTCTTTAGAAAACAATGATTGTGTGATACAGTTTCCTTACAGGTTTGTCCAAAAACCTCTCCTACATAATGAATTGAGTTTAAAGTTTACGGCCACAGAAGGATCATGTTTCACCTAAGAGTCAGGCATTTCTTTTCATGCTTAAGTTTCCAATAGAGGAAGTCATTTGTTGGGGAGAGCATGCACCACATGCAACCTTCTTACAAACACAAGGGTGGGTGAGGAAAGGAGAAGAAAAGTTCACTGAGTCCTGCAAAGAGAAAGAGTTTTGAAAAAATGGCTGATTGGAAACAAAGTGCCTGGCAAATGCTTTGAGGCTTAGCAGTGGAGCCACCTGCTGCCCCTAGCTCCCAACCCCCGATCTGCAGCCTCTGAGGGTCCCATTAGCTAGGAAGCCTCTCTTTCCTCGTCCAGGACAAGTCACATGAGTAGGCAGAATGGGGGGAGGTATAGTGTATTCCCTCATAATAACTGATATGACTCTTTCTGCCCTCTCTCATAGCACTGAAAATAAAAGTGAAGGAGATAACCTACATCAACCGAGATACCAAAATCATCCTGGAGACCAAGAGCAAGACCATTTACAAGCTGAACGGTGTGTCCGAAAGGGACCTGAAGAAATCGGTGCTGTGGCTCAAAGACAGCTTGCAGTGCACCTGTGAGGAGATGAACGACATCAACGCGCCCTATCTGGTCATGGGACAGAAACAGGGTGGGGAGCTGGTGATCACCTCGGTGAAGCGGTGGCAGAAGGGGCAGAGAGAGTTCAAGCGCATCTCCCGCAGCATCCGCAAGCTGCAGTGCTAGTCCTGGCATCCTGATGGCTCCGACAGGCCTGCTCCAGAGCACGGCTGACCATTTCTGCTCTGGGATCTCAGCTCCCATTTCCCAAGCACACTCCCAGCTGCTCCAGCCTCAGCCTGGACAGCTTCCCCCTGCCTTTTGCACGTTTGCATCCCCAGCATTTCCTGAGTTATAAGGCCCCAGGGGGCTACAGGAGTGGATAGCTGTTTTTGCTTAAAGGAAAAGCCCACCCGAATCTTGTAGAAATATTCAAACTAATAAAATCATGAATATTTTTTATGATGTTTAAAAATAACTCACGTTAAAGCTAGTTTTGAATAGGTGCAACTGTGACTTGGGTCTGGTTGTTTGTTGTTTGTTGTTTTGAGTCAGCTGATTTTCACTTCCCACTGAGGTTGTCACAATGTGCAAATTGCTTCAATTTTCTCTGTGGCCCAAACTTGTCGGTCACAACCCTGTTGAGATAAAGCTGGCTGTTATCTCAACATCTTCCTCAGCTCCAGACTGAGACTCAGTGTCTAAGTCTTACAACAATTCATCATTTTATACCTTCAATGGGAACTTCAACTGTTACATGTATCACATTCCAGCTACAGTACTTCCATTTATTAAAAGCACATTAATCATTTCTATAGCATGATTTCTTCAAGTAAAAGGCAAAAGATATGAATTTTATAATTGACTTGAGTACTTTAAGCCTTGTTTAAAACATTTCTTACTTAACTTTTGCAAATTAAACCCACTGTAGCTTACCTGTAATATACATAGTAGTTTACCTTTAAAAGTTGTAAAAATATTGCTTTAACCAACACTGTAAATATTTCAGATAAACATTATATTCTTGTATATAAACTTTACATCCTGTTTTACCTATTCTTTGTCTTCTGTCTTGTCTTCTTAGTAAAAGGAACTGGGAATGGAGCTATGCATGAGACGTCACTTCCTTCCATGAGCCCAGTCCTCCAGCAGTTTAAAGTGATCTACTTCTCAAGTGACTCAGAAAGTGTCTCCCCCTCCACCACCCTGCCCCGTATCTCACAGATTTCACTGCTGCTGACCCTGTAGAAGCAGCGACTTGCAGCCTCTGGAAAGGGGTTGCCTTCTTTTGACCCTTCTGAGCAGTCCAGCTGCAGTTATGTGGAAACACTGCCCTAAACTTAAGGCTTATGAGCTTTACAGTTGTGCTTTTCATTTTCTGAGATTTTTCATAATGAAAAAGGATCACCACTGCAAAAATGTTAATTCCTTCCCCAATTCAAATCTAACCCTCAGATAAAGAGAGCCATGATTTGGAGAGTATCCACTGTAATGCAAGGAGGAGGAAGGGGATGGTGAAAACTTGAATTAGGATAAAAAGGAATAAACAGACATCTGTCCATTAAATGTCCCTTAGTCCTTTCCGACTGCTATAACAAAATACCTTATACTGGGTAGTTTATAAACAGAAATTTGTTGCTCACAGTTCCGGAGGCTGCAAAGTCCAAGATCAAGGTGGTGGCAGATTTTGGTGTCTAATGAGGGCTCTCTGCTTCACAGATGGTGACTTCTTGCTGTGTCCACACATGGTAGAAGGGGTGAACAAGCTCCCTCTAGCCTCTTTTATAAGGGCACTAATCCTATTCATGGGGCTCAACCCTCACGACCTAGTCACTTTCTAAAGGCCCCATCTCCTAACACCAACAAATTGCAGATTCAATCTCAGCAAAAGAATTTTGGAGTGGACACAACCATTCAGACCACAGCAATGTCCATCCAAACACTTCATTTTAGTATAGGATCTCCACAGCAATTCTATTAGACTCAGAGAGATTAAGCAGCACAGCTCATCAGAGGCAGAGCCAGGGCTGAAACTAAAGGCTTCTCTGAACACAAATTCTGCCTTTTATTCAACCTGTAAGTGGATTATAGAAACATGATGGCACTCATTTATTCAATAAATATTTATTGAGCCTCTGCAACGTGTCAGGCCATGTTCTAAGTGCTGGGGATACAGACATTCCTCTTGGTTCTTACAAAGCTTATATGAGAGAGTGAAAGAAAATAAATTTCATAATTACATATTTATAACTGATAAGTTACAAATAGAGTACAGGTAATACATGAGGGCAATGGTTTCCCCATCAAATCTGGAATTTCTAGTGGCATTCATGTAAAGCCTTTATCTGATGATGTTTTATCAATTTAGTTTAAGTTTCCTGAATGTACATCCATGTTCATCTCTCTACAGCATCTCAAGTTCTTCTGGAATAAAGTTCCTACAGTCCACAGCCTGGGCTACATGGTTTGCATGGCCCCTTTCAGGCTCCTCTGGGCTGCCACTTGACTCTGCTTCTCATCTATTTCTACAACTCAGGACCCACCCTACTCACAGGGTGCCTATGGGCTGGATTAAAAGGGGGTGCTCATGGATCAAGGCCAGTACTCATTTTAAATATTTAGAGTGGGAAACTAGGGACCTTAGAAAAGGCAGGGGAAAAAAGGGGAAGATAAGATAAAACAAAAAGAGAGGAAACAGTAAACCAAGGAATCAGGAATCAGAAGTGGGAAATATGTACAATGAGCCAAAACTAATGGAAAGAAAAATTTGGAAGAAACTGACCCACCTGAACGTTCCCTTTCCATTTAAGCCAAAAGTCATGGGCTCATGGAATGGAATGCAAAAACTTCAGTTCTGGGGAGCAGGTTAATGACATACATGCCTCCTTTGGTCATGTTTTAAGGAGTTAGCAGCTCTGGTATCACCCAAATGTCTGCCTCCTGTCATACATAGTCATGTTTCACTTAAAAACAGGGGAGTGTTCTGAGAAACACACTGTGAAACCATTTTGTCATTGAGTGAACATCGTAGAGTGTACTCACCCAATCCTAGATGGTGTAGCCTACTACACATCTAGGCTATATGGTAGAGCCTATTGCTCCTAGGCTACAAAGCTATAGAGCATGTTACTGTACTTAATACTGTAGTCAGTTGTAACACAATGGTAAGTACTTGTGTTTCTAAACATATCTAAATATAGAAAAGGTACAGAAAAATACGGTATAAAAGATAAAATATGGTACACCTGTACAGGGCAGCTCCATTATAATTTTATGGGACCACTACTGTATACACAGTCTATCATTGACCAAAATGTTGTTAGTGGTGCATGACTATATGTCTCTCCATAGACTTTCCAACTCTTCTACCTCATGCCTCTTGTTCGTATCTTTGACGAGGGCACAAGCCAATGAGACGTGCTCATTGGGGCAGAGCAGGTAGTTTTTGTTTGATCATGATTATACCATATCAACAATCATGATTATATTCTTACTTTTTCAACTATCAGATTTCTTTTGTGGGCAGATGAAAACGTGAATGTCCATCCACCATAGGAAGAAGAAAGTAAGTAATCAAGAATATTGGATTTCTGAGTTTCCTAAGATGACTCACGATCTTAAAATGCCCAAAGTGGGGATTAGCCTAAATAGCCAGGTATAGTGGCTCATATCTGTAATCCCAACTACATGAGAGGCTGATGTGAGAGGATCGTTTGAGGCCAGGAGTTTGAGACCAGCCTGGCAACATAGCAAGACCCTGTCTCTCAAAAAACGTTTTTTAAAAACTACATATCTGCTATGCATTTAATTCCTCTTCCCTTTAATAATATAGCTTGAGAAATGAGTTGTTCTGTGAGAGGTATTTATAAAAGATTTTAGGACAGCATTTTCTAAGTGAACAAAGGATGAAGGCAGTGTCTACATGCACAAACCAGTATACTGAAATTCACAGGATTAAAAACGATCAGTTTTGTCTATAAACACCCTCCATTTCTGTCTTAGTCTGTTTTCTGCTGCTGTAACAAAATACCATGGACTGGGTAATTTACAAACAATAGAAATTTATGTGCCTCATGGTTCTGGAGGTTGGGAAGTTCAAGAGCATGATACTGGCATCCAACAAGGGCCTTCATGCTGTTTCATCCCATTGTGAAAGGAGAAAGAGTAAGAGTGTGCAACACACAGAATGGAAAGGGACTAAACTTATTATTTTTATCAGGAACCCACTCCCACAGTAAATAATCCACACCTGCAATAATGGCATTCATTTATTCACAGGGCAGAATCGTCATGACTTAATCACCTCTTAAAGGTCTCACCTCGCAACACTGTTGCACTGGAGATTAACTTCCCAACACATGAATTTTAGTGGATACATTCAAACTATAGCAATTCCTGATTCCCTGTTCTCTCATTAAATAATTTGGCTGGACTTTTTATCTTTCAACTCTTATTTACTATCAAGTTTGCAATGCTCTTAATGGATGGGGTTACCTTGAAAAGCAAATCCTGGTATATGTATCCCTCATGCAGTCACTGAATCTGGATTATTGAACAATTTGATTTTTGCCTATGAAACACACTGCACAAACACAAATTAATTTATTAGCTCAGCAACTATTTACTGAGCACAAACTATTGACATTGGCTTATTCATTCAATAAATACAAATTGAGTGCTTACCACATGCCAGACATTGGTCTAGATGGTGGATACACAATGATTTTGCCATCCTTCAACTTGTATTCCACAGGGATTGTGTTAGGCACTGGTAATACAGCAATGAATCCTTCTCAAAAGGAACTCATAATCCAATAAGGAAGAAAGGCATGCAAACAAATAACTCCAATGCTCTATGTTAAGAGCGAGATATGTACATGCACCAGGGATGGCTTAGAAGAGAGAGTGGTTCACCTGAGTTGAAAATAGAATGTTGGGTTTAAGTGGAGATTAGGATCTGGGTAAAGGTATTTATAAGAAGAGAACTTTTAATAAGTTGAACCAGAACATCTTCTATTAAGACACAGCCTTAGAAATTAAGTATCATCAGTTTTACATATTGACCAATCAACAATGATATTGTGCAACATTATGCTGAAGCTATTGCCCTAGACACTACAAATAAATCTAGCATAAGACCCACAGGTTTTATAGTCAATAACACTAAAACATTCTCAACTTGCAAAATGATTAATACATTATTGCTCAGAAACAAATACTAATTAAACATAATAAAACAAAATACCTTAAAATATACTCCATTACTGTCCAGAGAGTGATACAGATAGGTAAATGCTAAAAAAAAGTTCAATTACTAAAGGTGTCAGTTAATGCAGATAGTGTTAGAAGGACAAAGCAAAGAATCTGTCTCAAGATGTTCCAGTTCAGAGTAGTAATAACCATTAATTTATCATTTTATGTTATGAAATGAGAAAAGCACTAGAGCTTGGTGTCAGTAACCGGTACAAAATTTTCTACAGCTGAATCATCTAAAGTATATTAAGATAAATCACTTAACAGACTAGAAGCTGCAGTAAAAGTGTCAAGTTCCTTGGTGTAACTTTTGAAATTCAGAGAGACCTAGGCAAGTCAATAGTTTCTTCAAGCCTCAGTCTTCTCATCTATAAATAATTAAGAACTATTACTCAGTAAGTTATGCCTAAGCTTGATACATTCTCATCTCCTTTCCATTCTCTATGCTGAAGTATAATTCTCAGAACTTGTTTCTATGTCTGAAGACACCCACAGCAGGAAGGGGCACTAGTCTGCATCTGCTCTTCCCCACCACCAGTGCTCCACACAACAGCTTCTTGGTACACTGGGTAGTTCAGGGCCTGAATGGTAGCAGTTCAGGCAGGCAAGAGGAAGAATGAGATCACAAATATTATCTACTTCTCTCTTCTTTAAAAAAGACTTTTCCACCCCCAAAAGAAGACTCGGGCATTTTTGTGCTGCCCTCTTCTCCCTTGGCTTCCCTAAGAAGCATCAAGGTTCCAGTCTGCAACAATCAAAGTGCTGAGAGTCAGTTCCATTACTCAGCAACCTTACACTGAGTACTCAGTATGTGCAAGGTACTGTCCTAGGTGCTGGAATTCCAATGATGACCAACACATGATGGCTACCCTTCAAGAAGCTCATGATCTAATGTAACAAATACACATATGACGGACAATAGTAACTGAGACCCAAACCTCCCCAGACATCCCTAAACACAGTCTTCCTGGGCCCCATTTGTTCTTATGGGTAGCAATAAGTTCATATTAAAATAACACTAAAAATCAAAATCTCCAGGCCCAGAAAGTTTCACTGGAGAATTTTACCAAACATTTAAAAAAGAAATAACACCAATTTTACACAATCTCTTCCAGAAAACAGAAGAGGAAGGGATGCCTCCCAACTCGTTTTATGAGACTAGTATTGCCCTAACACGTAAACCAGACAAAGACAGCACACACAAAAAAGAAAACTACAAATCAATATCTCCTGTTAACTTAGACAGGAAAATCTTCAACAAAATGTTAGCAAACGAAATCCAGCGATACATAAAAAGAATAATATACAATAACTACGCTGGTTTATTCAAAGTATGCAAGCCTGGTACAATACTCAAAAATTAATTCATGTAATCTACTATATCAACAGGCTAAAGAAAAAAATCATGATCATATCAATTGATGTGATATAAAAGCATATAAAATTCAATATTCATTCATGATAAAATCGGTCAGCAAACTAGGAATGCTTTTAACCTCAAAGAGCATCTACCAACAATCCTACAGTTAGTATCATACTTAACGGTAAATGCTTTCATTCTAAGATCAGGAACAAGGCAAGGATGTCCACTCTCTCCATTCTTATTCAACATCATACTGGAAGTTCTAGACAGTCAAATGAGGCAAGGAAAAGAAACAACTGGCATACAAACTGTGTTTAAAAAAAATTGTCTATTTACAAATACAATTATCTACATTTTAAAAATCCCAAGGAATCTACAAACCACTCTGAGAACTAATAAGTGAGTTGGGTGAGGTCACAGGATACAAGATTGACACACAAAAGTGACTGCATTTGTACATACCAACAAGCTGTTTGTTGTTAGTATAAAACATCATAACCATTTAGAATTGCTCCAAAGAAAATAAAATACTTAGGTTTAAATCTAACAGTGCATGTACAGGTTCTATATTTTGATAAATCCAAATTGCTGATGAAAGACATCAAAGAAGGCCTAAATAATTGGAGAGATATGCTATGATCATAGATTTGAAGACTTAATATAGTAAAAATGTCAATTCTCCCCAAACTGACTGACAGATTTAAAGCAATTCTTATCAAAATCTCAGCAAGCTTTTTGTAAACATGGGTAACCTTATTCTAAAATACATGTTAAAATAAAAATGCTCTAAACTAGCCAAAATTATTTTGAAAAATAATATAGTGGGAGAAATCATTCTTCCCATGTTGAGGCTTACTATATAGCTACAGTAATCAGGACAGTGTGGAGGACAGAACAGATCAGCGGAACAGAACAGAATCCAGAAATGAACCCAGACAAATATACTCAATTAACTTTTGACAAAGATGTGAATGGAATTCAATGGAGTAGAAATTGCCTTTTCAACAAAGGTGCTGGAGCAACTGGATATCCCACAGGCAAATAAAAAAATTAAAAATCTAAATCTAACATTGCATATAAAAGTTAACTCAAATGAACCATTACCTTAAGGGTAAACTACAAAACTATAAAAGTTTTTGAAAAATAAGACAAATTAATCTTTTCAAGACCTAGAACGGGGCAAAGAGTTCTTAGATTTGATACCAAAAGCACAATCCACAAAAGAAAAAATTAATAAAGTGAAACTCATAAAAATGGAAAACTTGGGTATTTAAAAGGCCCTGTTAAGAGGGTAAAAAAACAAATGACAGATTAAGAATAAAAGGCTTGTATCTAGAATATACAAAGAACCCACAAAACTTAACAGTAAAAAAATCAAACAAAGCACTTAGAAAATGAGGAAAGCACTTACAGACATTTCATGGAAGAGGATGTATGTATGGTTGTGATGGTGTCTGCCATAGGCATGGGAGGAGGGAGTGGTAGTTATGTCCCAGAAACTTGCCATCCAGG